ATTTTTGTTGTTTCCATTTCCATTGTTATATTTCCATTGTTGCTAAAACATAGGGGAGAGGAAAGAAGGGAGATAATTTCACCTATAGCATATTCAAATTTGTACTATAATCTTAAAGATGATATAATCATCTCAAATAATTTTCTGTATCTGTTGACTTTAAGTGTGGGAAATGAATATCTTTAAGAATGGATATGATAAATTCTGTTTTGTGTCTTTGGAGTGTCTGTTGGTGTATCTTTGGAGATGTCTCTTATGTAAATGGAAATACATTTTAAATGTTTTCTCTGAGTGAGTGACATTCTCTTATGAAGTATTAATCTATTAGAACAGGAAGGAATCACTAGGATTACCTAGTTTAATGACCTATATTTAAATTTTTCAATTTTAGTAATGGAACCATTTTTCAAACAAGGGAGAGAAAGAGTGTTGCCTCCAGAGCTATTAGAAAATAAATTTCTGTTATTTAAACTGTTAGGGAACTGTTGACTGAAACCCTCCTCCCCCACTTGGCCAGGCATGATAAAAACCATTTGCATGAGTTGTCCCACAACAGGAAGTCCTGATAAGGAATATGGTCCTGCCCCTGAAAACTAACCTGGAGAATTTAGGAGAGGCCAAAAGAGGGAGGAAATGACCACCTTCCCAGAATCCTTTGTACTGGAATCGTCTTGGCTGAGTGATGCATGTACCACCAGGAAGGACCCTGAGTCAGCCTATAGGCTAAATGATTGGCAAGAGACAACCTGGAAACTAACCCCATTAACCATAAAACGTGAGGCTGAGCCATGTGGCAGAGCAGTTCTTCTAGGTCCCTTTACCCTGCTGCTCTCTACCTGGGCACCCTTCCCAGTACTGTCCTTTTCTTTGTCAGCAAGTGTATGTCCTCAGACAATTCATTTCCAAATGTTAGACAAGAGCACACTCTCAGGCCCTGGAAGAGGTCACCTTTCCTGCAACAAAATCACCCAGTCTGTGGTGATTGTTTTATGGCAGCCTAAACTAAGGCAATTTCCCACACTGCTTTGATTCCTTCTTACTTTTTCACTCACTGGCCTATGTGTCTCCTTGCAGCTTCTGCCCATTTTTCTTTGTCCCAACTTTTATTTAAGAGAATAAAAAAGGACATAAAACATGTTCAAGCCTGGATGAGAATGTAACATTTTGCCCAAAGGAAAATTAAATTGGGAAACAGCATTCTGCAGGTGCATATTAAGTGAACTGGTGGGGAAAATATAATTTAGGAGATGGTGAAATTGCTTTTGAGTGAAGATGTAGTCATCTCACAGTGCCTGTGTCAGTCTAGAGATAGTTTTCATTTTAGTTGCTTGCATGTGTTGTATACCAGCACTCCCCACTGTATTTCTTTTGGGCTCATCAACAATAGATTACTCAGGAGTGATTTGCAGATGAGTATGCAGTTAGGAGAAGGTTCCTGCATTGAACTAAAGATAGGGCAAAAATAAAAATCATGAGCACAGTTTCTTTTTCATTTTTAATCAGTTTATTTTTCACAATGTTCATTTCAGTTCAGTTCAGTTGCTCAGTCATGTCTGACTCTTTGCCACCCCATGGACTGCAGCAGGCCAGGCTTCCCTGCCCATCACCAACTCCTGGAGATTACTTAAACTCATGTCCATCGAGTCAGTGATGCCATCCAACCATCTTATCCTCTGTTGTCCCCTTCTCCTCCCACCTTCAATCTTTCCCAGCATCAGGGTCTTTTCTAGTGAGTCAGCTTTTCACATCAGGTGGCCAAAGTATTGGGAGTTTCAGCTTCAGCATCAGTCCTTCTAATGAATATTTGGGACTGATTTCCTTTAAGATTGACTGGTTGGATCTCCTTGCAGTCTAAGGGACTCTCGTCTTCCCCATCACCACAGTTCAAAAACATCAGTTCTTCAGCACTCAGCTTTCTTTATGGTCCAACTCTCACATCTGTACTGACCACTGGAAAAACCATAGCTTTGACTAGATGGACCTTTGTTGGCAAAGTAATGTCTCTGCTTTTTAATATGCTGTCTACGTTGTTCATAGCTTTCCTTCCAAGGAACAAGCGTCTTTTAATTTCATGGCTGCATCCAGTCCATAAAAGCTAACCATGCCACATTTCAAGGCTGCACTCACCCTCTGTGATGGCCCACACTCTGTCTATGAAATGCATTTCTCTCTGAATAAATCCACATCTTACCTATCACTTTGTCTCTCACTGAATTCTTTCTGCAATGAGATGTCAATCACCTGAGCTTCATTAGGTCCTGAAACCAGGTCTGTGATCTTAGTTGGAAGTCGTGGGTTTTGGCTGGGTTCAAATCCTTGTCACATGGGTTTGAGTCCCAATCTGAGGTAAACAGTTTCATGATCATCTTTTTTGTCCTATTTTTTTTTGCTACTACTCTGCATTCCAATCCAGAGGGGTGAGTAACCTGTGGGTGAAATCCCAGATGGAGGGGGAGTTAAGAATCCTGCCTCCCCTCCTCTAAGAATGGGAAAATAATATCAACTCCCATTGATGTTTTCAATAGCTGGAACTGGAGATTTGAGGTTGCTGTTTTAATAATGGATATTTTATAACTCAAGAGTGATCAGTGAAGCTCTGTAGCCTGATAAAAATTTTCATGCAAAGGATAAGGCAGGCCAGCTACTTCTGAGCAAATTCAAAAGGACAGGGAGGAACAAAATAAAGTTGCTTGTAGGAATACACTCCATGAATCCTGCTTGTTTGGTATATGTGTACTGATGACAGTAGCATATAATATTCATCTTTCCTGGTTTTTTTTTTTTTTAACTTTTAATTCAATTCAGTTCAAACCAGAGATCGAATACACACACCTTGAAGTGAAAGCTGAGTCTTAACCACTGGACCACCAGGGAAGTCCAATAGCATGTAATATTCATACCCTGGAGCCAATGTACAGAAAATAGACTGAATTCAGATCAATATGTCTCTCTTCAGAAAGATGAAGCATATATATATATATATATATATATATATATATATATATATGTGTATATCTTTTGGCAAACACAGAACAACTTAGAGCTTTTCAGTGCTATTAAAATTGTTGGGTCTGACTTCAGATAAATATTTATTTGAGATAGAGCAGTCAATGTGGCTGCCATGTTCAACTTCCCCTTCCAGATTCAATTGCTTTTTCACTACCCCCTTACTCAAGAAAACAGCATTAGGCTGTTCTTTGCTGATAAGAGGCCACTGAAGGAACAAAGGTTATAATTTAAAGCATCTTATTAGACGTTGTAGCCCTAATTTCAACATGTCAAAATATTGTAGAGAATATAGCTATAAGGCACACTCAGTACCAGATTGGAATGGACATAGGTGGTTACCAGTACCTGCAGTTTTGCATCATTCCTTGCCAAAATGACATAATATGACAGATTATCATAGGAGAGCTGGGCTAAGGGATGAGAATCCAGGGTTCTTATCCTGCCTGCATATACAGTCTTTGTGATCTAAGTTGGGTCACTTGACATCCTTGGCCTTCAATTTTTCATCTCAAAAATCCAAAGAATGAGCTAGAGACTCTCCAGTGTCCCCATCCACTGTGTGATTCTCTCTTTGCTTCCCCCCACCCCCACTGTATCAGAAAAATAGTTCAAAAAGTTACCCAAAATTTAAATGAGGAAATACTTTTAGAAATGTAACAAAATTAATACTTCCAAAGGTCAGTACAAGTAAATATTACAGAAGCACTAGGGATTTTTTGGTAAGATTTATTTTATTAACATCGTAAACATACAGACATTTTAGTCATCTGGTTACATGTGAAAAAAAATCCAAACCTATGACTCTGGTGGCTAGCATCTTTATTTAAAAAAATAAGATTTAAATAAATTAGTTAATATGAGTATGAAACAAGTACATAACTGAGAGGTAACATCTCGAAATCAACTCGTGAAATAGTCTCAATATTTATCCTCTTGAAAGAAACAGATCTGGGAGAACATGGATAGACAAAAAACGAGTACTGACTCAGAGAGGACTTTAGGAAACAGCAGTGAGTTTTTTTTGTTATGGCTAATTCTTTCTAAAAGAACATTTTCTTTACATAAATGTATTTGAAGATAAGATAAATGTACTCATTAAGTTGTCAAAATTGCTTTCAAAACCTGCTCTCAAATCCACCTCTTTCCAAAGGAGTAGATCCTACATTCAAGGGCAGAGTGATATAGTTCTGTGTACTTCCCGAAGGGAGTTTTGCAGGAGCCTGACAGCATTTGTTCCATTTATTTAAATGATGGAATAGATGCGGCTAATTTCCACAAGCACATATTAACATTTCTTGCTTTTGCCCTTAACTAAAGGACTTGGCAGTAATAGCTTGGAAATCCTGAGCTTGGTAACTGCCACCTGCCTGAATGATTCAGAGAGTTTTATCCTGCCTCCATCCTCCATGTGCCAGAGGAGAGGTGAGACGGAGCTGAAGCTGACGCCCCCCCTTCCGTGGAGCGCAGCCTCATCAGATAGCCTCTAACATCCTCTCTCAGCGTTCTCCTATGCCTAACTTTCTGACCTTACTTTCTTTAAGGAAGCCATTATTGAGTTGCTTACTAAATTCTATGTGGAGTGCTAGGCATTGAGGCCACAATCATGAAGAAGAGGTTGGCCCTGCTCTTGAGGGCTCTTGAGTCTGGCCGGAGAATGCTGTGTTTAGGAAATTTCACCTACTTTTCGCTGATTTCCTTCCCTATCTTTAAGAGGAAGGGATTGCCTGAGAGGATTTCTAAGACTATTAAACGGGAAAGCACCCTCATGTCTGTAAGTTAAGTGAGCGTGAATAAGACTCATGGAACCAGATGTAGGATACGGGTCTGAGTGGCGACGAGCCCCAGCCTTCTCCAGTCCTGGAGCTCCGCCTCTCGGGAGAGCAGAGATGAGTAGGGTCTCCGCGGTGGTTTGCAGCCTGGGCACATGTGCACGCGGACATCTTGGATGCTTGGTCCTGTGAGGGTAGGCAGCTCAGAGCGCCCGCTGCCCCTTACTCTCTGACGTCGCTGAAGGAGCAGTAGCTGGGCCCCAGGCCCCGCACGGTGCAGTCGGTGCTGCCGCTGTCACACTTGCCGCAGTGACACGCGGTGGCCACCGGGTACGTGTGCAGGGAGTCTGCGCGGTGAGCACAGCCGGGCACTCTCACCGTCTCGTAGACCAGCTCCTTGAAGGTGCATGTTTTCTGGATGTTGGGCCTCGCTGGGTCCCTGTACACCAAGTCCTGAGTGGTTTAGGAGACAGAGAGAGATGAGTTGCAATAGTCTGGAAGTTTCTGTTTAGCGTAATCAAAATGAGACAGGGATTGAATATTTACTTGCTCTAATATCGACACTTTAAAACTCTTTTATGAAATTCCTAATCAAGGAAACATGATCTCATAAATGACCTATATGCTATACCGTGTTTCCTGATTATTCTACAGATATTTCCGAAAATACAAGTTATTTCTTTTCTTACTCCTTATGTCTATGTCACAATGTTAATTATTTTTTCAACTATCAAGAAATTTGAATTTCAATAGAGGAAAATGTTAAAAGAGAAATTGACAGAAATTAAATTTGACTTTTTCACTTAGTTAAAAGCTGTATTAATGACAACTTGAACCACAAATCAGTGAAGTTTAATTACTCAGAAATTTTTTCCAAATGCATTGTCCCTGAGTATTTATAAAAAGTCAAAAAGTATATAATGTGGAATAATAATGCTTAGATTAGCCTGACTATGAAAGCTTATGTAAGATTTTAAATATTTCACTGCCTTGTAGACATCTCTTCACCTTGAAGGCTATATATTTTGTACAAGTCGCAGTTTCTAAGGCTACATGGTTTGTACATAAGAACTTTAGTCCTGGCAGAATAGGTTTTTCTGTAGCATTTTCTACTTTAAAAATATATGTATATATATATATATTTGCACTGAGGGAAGAAGTTGTTACTTCTATTTAACTTATTTTAATATCATGTCACTAAGTCTATATCCCAAGAAGATGTGATAAGTAGATTTTGGTCAAACTCATTTACCACCCATAAAGTATATTTCATTAAAAAGTTGATATTTTCAATTTCAATTTATAGAATGAAATTCTGCATAGATAGCTAGGTGTTATAGGGTAAAAAAGAGAAAGTAGAAACTGCTCCTTGGATTAATTCAAAGAAGCTGTGTGAATACAAACTGTTTTTTGCCTCTGTGCTTTGATTTACTCAACTGTATAAACAAGTGAGTAGGTTTGCTAATTCATTTTGGTTATAACAGTCTACAAGGATTGATTGTGTTCTCAGGCTGCTTGTTGGCATTTGTATTCAGCAGGCCAGTAAGATGATTTTTATAATGTGGCTGTGCTTTTATGTGGCTTGCAAACATATTTTGGTACTGCCTCTGTTGTAAAGATGTGGCCTCAAGTACAGAAATTGGCTTTTGGACTATTGTAGCTGTTCTATTATTAAATGTATGTATGTTTATGTTTTTAATCTCTCCATATGTAAAATCTAATATAGAACTATTTTTTGAAATTAAAAATTAAAAATTAAAAATAGAATGGTATATTACTAAATTGATCAGATCAAACCTGACCCTTCTTTACATTTACTGTAATCACTTCTAAGCCCAAACATTTAGTTGGTATCATGGTAAAAAAGCCAGTCATAAAATAGTATTGGCTAAAGGACTCATGGCTATTCCTTGGGAAACTTAAAATATTGACAAGTGGGAATCAATGAAGCCTGCCTTGTCCACACCCTCAGCACCCTCCCTTCCAGCAAAGCAAAGTGCCTACCCGGGTGTAGCAGTAGCCCGCACACCACGTGGTGTTGATGCTTATGCAGAAGCTACATTCCTCTTTCTCCACCGTGATGGTGATGTTGGTCAGCTCGCAGCTTCTGCAGCAGATTGCTCTCCAGCAACAGAAAAGGAAGCAGAACTGGACGGACTTCATCCTGGGCTGGGAAGCAGACAATTAAGGCCTGTGAGAAACTGAAAAGCCAAAGAATTATAATCGTTTATATATGCTGACCAAACCAAAAATAATTTTTCTATCCATTCTCTCCCATCATATTTTGCTCCAGCAATATTTTTTCCTTCCTTTTCCTTTGCTTTACTTCTTTGTTTCTTGAACGAGCATTTCTAATTATGCTCCTCAGTCTTTTTTGGTGTTGTTAAAGTAGAAACATATTACAGATCAAAACTCCAGTATAATGATTTAAGCAGAGCAGTGTTTGGTTTAGAACATTACTGCTGTCTGTTTTAGTGATCACTCTGAAGCAAGTAATCATGATCATTGTATTTGTCCTTTTATTACCATTTAAAAGACTAAAGAGAAATTTCTATATTACAAACTTAGTTCATCATTTTTAGCATCTCATAAATGTTATCATTTGCTTTTGCCCCCCTTTGTTTAAAATAAGACTCTTTCAGAGGCCAGATGAATTGGTCTGTATAAAGTCAATGGCTTGCTAACATTGATTACCGTGCATTTAAGAAGCCAGGTTGACAAGCACAGATTCCCTATACAATGGAAGTTAAAAAGCTCTAAATTTGTTCTCTAGATCCTTAAAAATCTGTGAACTGCAGAAGTAACTCACCACTTGATAGCTGTAGATGCAGAGGCTTCTGTAGACAGCTGCCTTGTCTGGGGAAAGCTGTAGCTGAGTGCAGTCTCAGTTCACCTTTTATACAAAATTGTGTGAAACTAAACTAAACCTTGTGGATTTGTTGGGTATTAGTAAGAGCAGTGTTAGCCTGAAGCTTTCTGTAAGTGAATCAGTGTTTGGACAGACAGGGAGATCAAGCCTTACTAAAGTAGTCTAAACGCAGTAGATCAGGACAAATAATGTTACCAGAGATGATCTTGTACAGATTAAATTTGATATAGTAGAACACCCACTCCTTTACCTTGTCAAATTAAATTTGACTTTGGGTTTTTCTTTTGTACCTTTAACTTGGGGAATTCAGAATTCCTTTCAAGTATTGCTTTGACTCTGTTAAGGTGTATCAAAAAGATATGGTTCATAAATTACTCCCAGGGTAGATTGAAAACTATCAGGGGAAAAACAAATAGAAAGTCTTTCATGATCTGACTCCTGTCTAAAATATAGACTGTATTTCTCTTTACATCCAGATCCTCTAATTTCAAATGTTATTCTTTGATGCTTTACTTGTAATTCTTTAAATGTTCTGCTGATTCATTTCTTTAGCTCTTTGCATATGCAAAGTTTGTCTTGCCTGAAATGTCCTTGCTTATTATTTAGGCCAATATAAAGACTTTGATTTTTACTGTCAACTGGGGACCAATTGCAGGGTTTTGAGTAGAGGAGTAACATCATCTGATTTAGGTCTGAAGGGATCCCTTTGATTGCCATGTTGCTAATGGCGGGGTAAAAAGGTAGAAACAGGAAGTCCCATTAGATGCTATTGCATCAACCTGGGTAAGAAATGATATTTATTCAGACTAGTATGGTCGCAATGAAGGTAACGAGACATAGTTTGACTCTGGATATATCGTGAAGGTAGAGCAAACAGAATTCTTTGATGGATGGATGTTGAGTGGGAGAGGAAGAGTCTAGGATGGCTTTAAGGATTATGGCCTGAGAAACTTGAAGGATAAATATGCCATCAGCTGAAACGGGATGGCTAGAGATACAGGAAGTTTTTTGAAAAGATAAGGAATTTAGTACGGACATGTTGAACTTGAGGTATGTTTAAGGCGTCCACGTAGAATGCTGAATCTGGACTTGGGGAGGAATATATTGGCTGAGGTGTAAATTTGGGAGTCATTGACATGAGCCTTGAGAAGATTACTGAGGGATCGGGTGTGTGTTAATAGAGAAGATAAAAGGACCAAGGGTAGAACCTGGTGTATTCCAGCGCCAAGAGGTCAAGGATAAGATGAAGTTTCTTTCTTCCTTTATCCAAAGGCAACAAAAGGGTCACTGAGGAAAGAAAGGAATGAAGAGAATGTGGTATCCCAGAAGTCAAGTAAAGTGTGTGTATCAGGAGGCGCGAGTGACAACGGTACCCGACACTGCTTACAGGTTAAGTTAGGGGAAATTGCACAGTAATGTGGCAGTTGTAAAGATCACTAATACCCTTGGCTAGAGAAGTTCCTTTGGAGTTAGGGGAACAAAATCCTGACTGGTGTGTGTTTTAGTGATTGGCAAGAGATGAACAAAAATGAAATGAATGTCACATGTGCTGTCCCTCCAGTCCGTGTCCGACTCTTTGTGACCCCATAGACTGTAGCCCACCAGGCTCTTCTGTCCATAGGATTCTCCAGGCAAGAATGCTGGAGTGGGTTGCCATGCCCTCCTCCAGCAGATCTTCTCAACCCAGGGATTGAACCCACATCTCTTTATATCTCCTGTATTGGCAGGCAGGTTCTTTACCATTAATGCCACTGGGAAGCCCAAAGAAAGATAAATATATATAGATAGCTTTTTTCCAGGTATTTTGATTCAAAGATGAGGAGAAAAGCAGGTGATAAGTTGGAAGTGGGATAAAGATAATTTTCTTTTCATTTTTGTGTTTTAAGATGGGAGAAATAACTGCTTGTTTGTATGGTGATGCAAATGATTGAGTAGAGAGTAAAAAATAATGGTGTTGGAGGAAGAGATGGATTTCAGACACAGCTGGAGGGACTGGCTTTAGACAGGGGGATGGAGAGCTCATATCCTGTATCAGGCAGAGTTATGAGTATAGAGGCTGCTGGGCGGGGAGGTGTGGTGGGGGCAGACGATGGTGATGGGGAGATGTGGTGACAGTCTCTGTACAAGCTCTCCTGTGATGAATTTCATCTTCTCAATAAAGTAGGAAGTAAGGTTAGCATTTGAGAATAAGGATGGTGGAGGAATTTGCTGAGGATTGAGAGATGAAAAGAAGTCTCCCAGACCTTTTTCCTGTCAAGCCTCTTATAGCCTGGTTTGTCTGATTAGTGTCTTTCCTAATTAGGTGTTACTGTTTTCACAAAGGTTGTTGGAAATATTTTATTGATGAAAATTTAGAGGTCTTTCTTATTCACCTTTGTATTCCCAATAGGAAAAGAGTTTCTAATCCACAGTAGGCACAGATTCACTTTTGTTGAACAAATTGAAACACAAATCACTCATACTTTCCCTTACGCTCTGCTGGTCCATAACCTGTTTGCTAGCTGATGCAGTTCTTGTTCTTGCTCTGTTCTGCTCTCGGAAGCCTCTGGGGAGGGAGACCGGAGCATGGAAGGAGAAGGAAGAAAGAGCATCTGTCTCCCTTTTCTTTCTTTGGCCACTCTGCATGCCTTGTGGGATCTTAGTTCCCTGATGAGGGATCAAACCTGGGCCCTTTACATTTTTCTTTTCTGGTTAGCAGCTGCATTTTCTCTGAGTCCAGGGCACACAGGAAGCTTTTCTCTTAGTTTCCCCAGCTTTCAGGAGGAAAACCCTCCTGTGGTTTGAGCTTCTGCTAAGTGGTCTCATGTTTTGGCTCTGGAAACCCCATCTGTGTCCTTCTAATCCTGAAGATGGGTGGGGCTTCTGGTGCTTGCTGACCTTTGAGTCCTATCCTTTCTCCTGTCTGGTTTCTCTGTAATTCTAACACTTGGACAATGCATTCCCTGGATTAAATTCCCTCTGTTTTACACATTAGGAGCGGTTTCAGTTTTCCTGGTTGGAGACTGAGTGATAACACCCATCTTTATTTCTAGCCCTGTTATTACTGGGTTTTAGTATACTAATATTAACTCAATATTTAACAGAATGTTGACTAAGGAGACTTTATGTCAGATTCTTACTTTCTCCACTTGAGACACCTCCCCATTTCCCAAAATCACATGTATTTTTTTCCTCTCTTATTTGAAAGAAAAATAAGAGCCTGAGATACATTTCTCATCTTTTCATCTAAGCTATTCAATATTCAATACTCCTCCCAGTACTTTGTTTTTTTTCCTTAGTTCTCAATACGTTTCTCAATGTTAACACTCATCACTTTGTATTTTAAATGAACAGCAGACTTCTCTCATGAATTGTGGTGAACCACTGTCCACAACTGTACGAGCATCCTTAGAATTTCTACCTCTGTATATACTCAATAACTACATCCTTTTTTCCCTTATACATATTTTTTTTTCCAAACCATTCCTTTATGGTTGTGTTTAAAAATAGGAAATTAAGTACCTTCCTCATATCCTTTTTTAAAAAATGTTTTGTTTATTTTGGGTCTTAGTTGTAGCATGCAGACTCTGTAGTTGTGGTGCACATGCTTAGTTGCCCTGTGGTATGTGGGATCTTAGTTCCCTGACCGGGAATTGAACCCATGTTCTCTCTATTTCAAGGCAGATGCATAACTACTGGACCACCAGGGAAATACCTTTGTGCTCATATCTCGACTTGCTCCTTCTATGGTCTAGTATTCTTTTCCTCCTTCTCTTCTGGCCACGTGATAAATGATTTATAATGTAAAATTTGTAAAAGTGTTTAATGTATTAATTTTTTTAATCTAAATTTGTTTTAGCCATTTGAATTTGTTTCCTTTATTTAAATTACAAAGTAATATATAATATATGATGTAATAATTCCATATATAGTGCTAAATTTTTATTAAGTTTTTATCCTAGCAGATTACTCAACAATAGTATAGCATTGAACTGTCCAGAATTGATGGTTTTGAACTGTGGTATTGGAGAAGACTCTTGAGAGTCCCTTCGACTGCAAGATAAATCAGTCCTGAATATTCATTGGAAGCACTGATGCTGAAGCTCCAATACTTTGGCCTCCTGATACAAAGAACTGACTCATTGGAAAAGAGTCTGATGCTGGGAAAGGTAGAAGGCAGGAGGAGAAGGGGACGACAGAGGATGAGATGGTTGGATGGTATCACCGACTCGATGGACATGAGTTTGAGTAAGCTTCAGGAGTTGGTGGTGGACAGAGAAACCTGGCACGCTGCAGTCCATGGGTTGCAAGGAGT